CAGGGTCTTCATGATGTGGGACGTCAGAGCCACCGGTCTGTAGTCATTAGGGCTGCTGGGACGCGGCGTCTTTGGCACAGGAACGAGGCAGGACTCAATAGACAATAGACAATTAGACTCCAAAAAAGGCTTTCTGCAGTGATTAGCTTAGACCTCGCCCAATTGTATCTAAGTTGTGGCTGGAAACATATCTTGTGTGTTCTTGCTTGTGCGAGCTGTATTAGCATCCACAGATCCACACTCCTCCTCGTCTGCATAGGTGTCACCATGCTGTCTCACCAGGTCAACTTTACTTTTCTCTTGTAGAGTCCAACTGTCTTCCAAAGATGAAGATAGAAGATAGATTTGTGTTGCCGTTGTTGGACATGTTTAATGTACCGCCCTCGCACCACGGTGCACTAACTCTTGACGCTCTCATTGCAAGACCCTCACGTTGACCTGTTACTTTTCTCGTGAGTGGAAAAGTTGTTAGCAGCAAAGCTTCCATGAACTTTAAAATCAGACCATCGGCCAGTAGATGGTACATTTAGATTAGGGATGCACCGATATGAAAATTTTGGCCGATACCGATATCCGATATTAATTTTGCTGTTATGGCCGATAACCGATATTTACCGATATCGATATATGTTTTTTTTAAAAAAGTTTCTGAGATGATAAAATTTAGTACAGACTGAAAATCATGCAAACTGAATTTTTGAATGTCTTCCTTTATTTTCAGAACGTATTTTACTTCCAAATAACAAAGTTACAGGGCTACCATAAAACATAAGTAACCAACCTTTACCACTTATCAAACATGCCAGTATTCATGGCAACATGTTTTCAGCTCTGTGCACTCCAGTTAAACTCAAATCTGTGAAAAAGGCTAAATCAAAATATCCAAAACATGTCCTGACTGTTAGTGCACATTTTTTCAACTTGCACTGTAATTTTCCACGTAGCAAACATGCAGTCAAATGCGCCAGCGATGGCGACCCCCGTATGCGATCCTGCAAACTCTTGCGCATGTAAAACAGCTCTCTTCATTTCAAAGTTTCCATCAATCCACTGAGCAGTAAGGCTCAACATACTCATCTGACTTACGTCCGAACTCCATATATCCGTAGCGAAGCTAATGTCAGTCACACTGTCCAACAATTTGTGGATATGCGTGGCCACGACTTCGTACAAAGCAGGGAGGGAGATGTCGGAAAAGTAGCGCCGACTTGGCAGGCTGTAGCGGGGTTCAATATGCTCTATCAACCGCCGAAATCCTCGGTCCTCCACTATGGAAAATGGCTGGTTGTCAAGAGCAATCATTTCCATTACCTTGTTGGTTATTGACCTGGCTTTTGCGCTGTCCTTGGCAAATTCCTTGGTCTGGTCGAGTACCTGCTGTATCGGGCTCCCAGCTGCACCTGCTTTTGTTTTTGCCTGCTGGCTAACGTTAGCAGCATTTGCTTCCTGTAATTGTTTGTGTAGTTCTGGGTGGCGGTTTTTCAAATGACATATTAAATTTATGGTGTTGAATGACTTGACGCGGCATCCTCCTCACATTACCTCAACTTTGCAGGTGTTGCATACTGCTTTTCGAGTGTCTTCTTTTGACACCGTGAAAAACGCCCACACCGCTGACATTTTTTCTCCTCTTCAGTTTAACATCCCACAATCCTGTGCTGCCACTGTCGCGTGCCCAAACAAATACACATGGCCAAATCCCCCTTCCCCTCCTTCTCCCTCTCCTGACACACAAACAGCAACTAGAGGATATACATCGGTTGTGGATATCGGCCCAATTTTACTCATCGGACCAATGCCGATATGTTAAAAAATGACGAACATCGGCCGATACCGATATTAATGCCGATATATCGTGCATCCCTAATTTAGATCTATCCAGGGGTCTGTGTACCAATGTAGTTCCAACTATAACGTCAAAACTGATTTCAGTAAATCTGTACACCCCTAATGACAGTGTATTCTTTCTGATTGCCACCCCGTAGCACCACTTGACTGTGATCTGTCCCGCATTAGAGGTGATTATTATTATCAAATTAAAAATAGTATTTCTTCTGGGAAGCAGCAGCCCATTACATCACACACTATGTTATGTGCAGGTGAAAGCTTTGGTGCAGTTTAGTGTATTATCCGACACATTATGTAATGCATCTTCAGCTGTGTTTGGAAGGATTCTCAGTAATGTTATCGAGGAATGTCATCACTGTGTGTACTGTTTTGCGCTCAGCTCCTTGTCCAGCTGCAGGAAGACGTCAGACGTCCCGCATCATCTTCTTCAGAAAATGTTTATAGAAAACATGTGCTCTGATATCTGGATGTGGATGGATTTGTTCCAGGCTTAAATATAAATTCCCTAACAGGATGAATTGTGTACTTTGTAGGGATAGACCAATATTTGGTCCAGCCAATTTTCAGATCTAATATTCAGCCCTTTTCTGATCTACTGGTATTGTTATTTATTTTATCCTATTGCTGATCAAATATTAACATTTAAAGATGTGCTACTTTGGCTACAGCATGTAATTTAAGTTATATTTAAAGTACTCAGATCTTTAAGTAAATAGCTATACCTCATTTTAAATATAAAGTAGGATAAAATGGAAATACTCAAGTACAGGTACCTCAAAATACTCTACTCACATACAGTACTTAATTAAATGTATTTAGTTAAACTCTGTCACTGGTTATTCAAAATGTATCCACTCACATTAAAATTTTTACTGCAAATCTGTTCGAAAACTGGTTATTGGGTTCCTTGATTACTAATTATTGATATCTGTATCAGCCCTAAAACCAAAAGAAAAAGTACTGGCAAACCCCTAATACTTTATGTTAGCACTATTAGCTTATTTGCAGTTACGTGATTCCAATGATGTATGACAACTAAAATTTGCTTTTTCATTAAAATAACTAAGCAAACTTACAGATTATCATATTACACTACATAAAGTGTTCTGGTCTACTTGTTATTTTGACACAATATTAAAATCTCAAAATTAACTTATAATTGATTTATTATTTTACAGTGACACACAAAGCAACCTCTAGGGCCAGTTTAAACAAGCTCAGTCAAATCACTTTTCAGCAGTGATTTATGGTCCCACACTGAACAAGCAGCCTCAAAAAGAGCCCCTAACTGAGTGAAAAAGCATGCTGTAAAGCTCAGTCTGACCACACACTCATACACACAGTATTCCTCTGGTCAGACCACATAACAAGCCAATTAAAAATCACCGCATGCTAGTAACTCCTTCTCTTTAACCACAATTATACTCTGGAGACCAGTCACACACACACACACACACACACACACACACACACACACACACACACACACATATACCAGGGTGCTGCAGAGCTTCTGCATCTGCTGAAGTAACCAGCTGACATGTGAACACTTTATATACAGCTGAACTGTTTCTGTTCGTCTTCAGTCAGTGTGCTCAGATGCACCTTGAGTACCTGTGTGTGTGTGTGTGTGTGTGTGTGTGTGTGTGTGTGTGTGTGTGTGTGTGTGTGTGTGTACCGGATCTCATGTTTCTCCCAGTTTCTTAATGTTGGACTCCATAGAAGAAGATTTTTTTGGTGTCCCAATTCCACTTCATCTAATCAGGATATATATATATGTATATATATATATGTACATATATATACATATATAGTAAGTATTCTCCACCAACAGGGAACTGGCTCGGTTCCAGCTCATGCACCTAGTTTGCTATTCAAAACTGGTGTAAATGTGAGCTGGTTCACTAGGTAGCACCAAGGTTCAGAGAATCTTGAACTAAACTGGTTCAAGAACCAGAGGTAATTTGACGGGAAAAAACCCCAAAGCATCAGTACTTGATGACCTGAAAAATAAACTCAACAATCAACTATATTTCTCCAAAACTGCTTACTGCACATTTAGGATTTAGTGGCAGATTGCAACTAACTGAATGTGTGTAGCAGAAACTATGTTGGCTGCAAAACTCACAAAAAGACCCTATCTAGAGCCTGTAGAAACATGGCCGGTTCAACATGGTGACCAACTGCATCTGTAGGTAAAAACGGCTGATTCTGAGGTAACAAAAACATCACAAATTTCTATATTTAGGTGATTATACCGATCTGTGTAATTATCTCCCCTCTCATCCAGCTGCTGCTTTCCCTGTCTTCAGTCTTGTCATGCACATGCAGAATGCAATTACCCATATGCATGGCCAAGAAAACGCCATTCTCCAGGGGGAATTTAGTGTTTACATGACAGCTAAGACATGAGCTCACTGGAGAAAGCTAGCTGTCTGTAAGGTGGTTACATAAGTACAAGTAAACGTATGGATGGTGACAGCAAACACAGAGGATTCCCATGATGCTCAGCCTTCCCAGAGGATGAATCTAAATTAATTTGATTAGATTTTTCATTCAGCACCACCCACAAGCAGTATAAAATTTCCACTTGTCCAACCTTTGGCAATACATGATAGCATCATGTATCATGATAGCCTGATAGTAGGCCTGTCATGTTTTATTCAAAATTTTAACTACCATTGTACTCCAGCAGGGGACACTGGTGCTGTTGACAACTGAAAAAATAACAGCCTTAATCCGTTAACATGTTTCATTATTATTGTTATGTTAAAATGGTAATGTTAGTATTACATTACATAAACATGTTAACTGAGCCTGACAAGCTGAGATTCCGCTTTGTTTTTTCATCTATACAACTATTGCAAGATGTAGTATTCCATGTGTACTTGACGGCGTTCTTTGAAGCACCATGAATCAGCTGATTTCACACAATTTCACACTTTCAGAACCCTACAAGCTGAAAGAGTACCAAAGAGACAGAAAAACATTGCCAGATAAAAAAAAGAACAGCATTAGTGTGGTCAAAATGACCAAACCTTTGAAACATGAATTAGACCTTTTCTTATAGAATTTTGGCTGTTCAAAACTTTTCCATATCAAGCATCCCATGTACGTAGATCCATATTATAGAAGGAGAAGAATGTGCTTACCGTTTTGCTGAGGTAACCAGTGGAGATATTCCTGCATTGTTTGTCTTCAGAGTGGCAGCACCCTCCACATCTATAGACGGACACACATGGTGGTTTATAGAAGATGTTCGTGGGAGCCCCGAATTCCCTGCCCACGTCGACACACACTTCCCTGGGCATGCACTGAGTCTTCCTCCACTCCGACTCTATACCTGCATACACAAGGAAAGTAAGACCAACACAACAGCTATGCATCAGGTCTTCTCTTCTCTCAGCTGCACAAAGGCAAAAGTACACAAACATGTGGCCAAGTCAGAAGTGTGGTCAATGAAAATTTAGAGATAGATAAAGATAAATTATCTATTAGGGCAATATTTGTTTATTAGATAAGTGAAATTGCTTGTTTGAGCTGGAGAAATCCTTTCGCACTCCCAAGTCATCAAATACTGCAGCTTGGTCAGTGGCCCTGCCCTTCAGAATATGACACTGTAGGTCAGGTGAGAAAGTCCACATATGGAGGTAGTGGTGTAGATGTGGTGTGAAGTAAGTCTTTGAAGTTAAGTACGTAAGTTAACTTATCTTAAGTCATGTCAGGTACATTGTGTAAGTTACGTTTTATTCATGTACTGAAGTTACATGAGGTACTGTACGTTAATGTATACGTTAGTACCTGATAAGACCATACAAACTTACCTACGAAGTCATAACTTTCTGTTTTTGTAAACCTGACCTTAGTAGTCTTTGTGCCAACCAAACTGTCTGTTTCACAACGTTAACCACTCAAGCTTTATTTTGAAAATCTAAATGGACGTTGCATATGTATTATCACTAACTTGGGTAGTGACATTTCGGCTGAAGAGCTCTGTTGAACAAAATGTGACATAAGGATAGGCAAGCGTAAAAGTAGACGAGGTCCTTAAGCTCAAAGACCTGCATCCATTTAAAGGGGAACAACTTTATTCTTTTTACTAAATCTCACTAAATTCTAATTTAGTGAGGGTTACAGTTTGTAACTAGTAACATTTGACATTTATTTGCATTAAAGTATATTACTATTTGTTCTTAAAATTGGGTCAGGGCAAAGCAAAGTTTAAAGCAAGGGAGTAAATAATTTTACATAGGCCATTACTATGACACTAAATGGGCAATAGATGCAGGTGTTAAGTAAGCTGTTTTATAGAAGTGGCAGTTTGTCATTTCATTGTGCAATGTGTCCCTCATATTATGTTAAACAGTCAATCAGTCAAGCATGTTTCTTTTATTTTAAAACAGAAGCACTGATTATGATATAACTGCATCCACATTTTACATATCAGTCTGATGCCAAAGAAAGATAGAAACGATAATATGATGCATATAGTTGTCTGAGTTTGAGGGAAATAAGTTGTAGTGATATAAAGTAAAACTCCACAGTCCACAGTCCACAGTCCAGTCTGTCATTATAGCCTAGCTAATATGGGGCTCTAACTGGTGGAGAAACAAAAGCAAAGCAAGCATCTCAAAGACCACCACAGGGAAACATTTGGTGCAGATGTGCTGACCCTAGTTTTTATTAAGTATTAAAATAAGTTCAAACATACTTTTCAGGACATCCAAGTTGAGGTAGGCAGCAGCAAATGTCGGCTCTTCTTTATCAGCCAGTGGCCTTAGTCGGCGAGGCTGTGGCCGCTGAGAGAGCTTGGTGGCTGAGGAGGAAGCGGCAGCCGAAAGTTTAGATCTGCACTTCAGAGCTGCCCAGTATGAAGGATAGATGAGACTCATCAGTTCATCGACATTGGAGGCTGAACGCAACTTCTGCTCCACGTCTGGCTTTAGTGGAGAGTCCTGAAAGGGACAAGAGACATCTTCACTGAGAATGCAGTTGTTCCTGTATATTCTTACCTGAATTCTCAACTCTGACACAGCTGTATCCAAAGAGCACATTACAAAGTCTTTGTTTAGCGAGTCACAAGTAAGTCACAGGTGGTCTCAAGTCTTGGTTATGAAGTCCCAAGTCAAGTTAAGACCAACAAGTCCCAAATCAAGTCCAAGTCCTAACCAAGTCATTATGTGCCCTTCACCAAACTGATAACCATTTAATTTCTTACAAAACATGGTAAATGGTAAATAAGAAATTATTTTATTTTTTTAGATTAGTATTTATTACTCTAAAATGAACTTTAGAACAGGGTCTGATAATCTGATAAATTTGAGTCTGATTTGAGCCCAGGTCATGGAGGCATTTGGCACCTTTGAAACCAAAAGTAAACTTCTTTTGGGAAATGTTACATCAAGTATGAAATGTAACTTCCATTATTTTCTTAAACCTAAACAAATACTTTATGTGCCTAAACCTAATCAAACTGTGACTGTTTCACAACATTAACCACACATGCTTTATTTTGGAAGTCTAACCAGATGTTGCATGTTTATTATTGTTAACTTGACTGGAAGTTGTGGATGTTGCATCTTTAGTCTTGCTAATTTGCCATTTGACAAGTTGGGAACGTGTTAGCCACATTTTACTCCCACTTCTAAATCCCTGTTGATGCTCATCATTCAGTAGTGTTGTACGAGCTGATTTTGTTGACATAGTTGGATGGAGTAAGGAATAAAGAATACTTCACTCAAAATGCATAATTACGTAGTTGTCCCACCCTGTAGTCTGTGGGCCAGTATTGATTGCCACTCTTGTGATCCAATGTTAATTTCATAATGGAGCTGAAGTCCAGCAGCAGAAGTTAAGTGACAATGTGCAAATGTTACTGGCCCAAGCTAAATACACTCAGTGAGAGTCAGTTTAATAATAATAATAATAAAATAATAATTCAGGAGGACATTTACTAGCTGCATTGCAACCTAATTTTAAGACTTGGTTCACAGTTCAACTAATTCTTCTTCTTTGACGAATGTGTGGCCAGTGTATGTATATGTTATCTCGCTTCCTGTCCTTCAGTACCATGAGAGATATATGCCAACATCCACACAATCACTCTGACAGGAACAATATGACTGTTCGCTGCAAGCAAGGCCATCACACACACACACACACACACTCATGCTGACTGGCCTTTGTATTAGTCAAACAGAGTGAAACAGTCCATTGTATTTTACGGCCTGTTTAAATCTGTTTATAGCCTCTGTAGAGATAACACACTCAACGCTCCATTTCCTACTAGAAACAATGTGTGTATTTATGTGTTTCTATATGCATATGCATGTTTTGTGTTTTGCTTCTGTCTACACAGATTTGTTCTACGTATATGTATAAGTCCTGTCTCAGTTTCCTCCGTCTCTTCGTGTGTGTGTGTGTGTGTGTGTGTGTGTGTGTGTGTGTGTTTGTCTTTCTGTATGTGTCCTGTCTCAGTTTCCCCTGATTCTGTGTGTTTCTGCTTGTATGTTTAGACTGGTGTTTTCACACACAAATATGCACACACACACACACTGTCCCTTCACGTGGGAAAGAGCTGCTTCTCTTCCGTCACATCGGCTCAAAGAAGCCGAAACAAACAATTGAGAATGCAGCAACTCTTAACAGGACCCTGTTGTCACCTGACTGCAGTGAACACATTCACCATTTCGGTCCTTTCCTGCTGTTGATGTTTCCTGAAACTGTTCTGGAACATCAACACTGCTCAGACTGCCAGACTAATCAAAACATTTTATTATGGTTGGCTTTATATTAAAGTCATCCAAATGATGTTTTTACATGTTTTAGCCTATTAACTTCAAACTGTGTGTGTGCTAAAATTGCTGCAATTTTCAAAAAGTGTGGTATACGTGTTCAGATCGATGGCCAAACGTAGAGGCAGCCAGTCGCAGTTCATTTCAGTAAACCGTGAAAATCTACTTTCTGGAGGCTTGAACCTCTCAGTCATCCATCACAGAAAACAGCTCACAACATTTATTTCTGTGTTATGTTATGGTCGTGAGGTATTTCAGCAGTGAGCGTTGAGCATTTTCAAATGTTAAAACCAATATTCATCAGCAGGAGAGGCTTAGTTCACTAAATTGACATAAAACCTAATCCATACAAACAATACAAAAGCATGAAGTTAAGTGCAATCCTTCTTGTGCTAAAAAGAGACTGTCCTTATCGACGCAGCTTCGGTCAATTGTTCAAACCACTTTTAAAGCCTTGTGATGACTACTATATATACTATACGTATATTCATGCATTTTCTTAATTAAATGTACATAGACCAGTACAAATTCAAGATCTCAAAACCATTACAGAACATTAACTCTTAGAGATAAAAGCAATAAAATACAAATGTGGAGTCAAAATGACTATTTTCTCTAAGAATATAATTATTATGTAAGAAATAGGGCTGTGTTACCAAGAATCTGGCAATACAGTAGACATTGAAATAAAGGGGTTACCATCAAATATATTGCGATAATTTCAGCAAGCAATATATACAATCAAATTTTAGGAAAACTTAGTATAGTATAGTATGAAAAAAAATTGTATAAAGAACATGCCACCATAAAATATAAATTAAAAGGTTTACTTTTCGAATCCCAAACAGTGGGATCTGCATTTGTATTTATTCAATGTCTGTAACATGACTGTAGTTTATGTCAGTGGACAAGAAGTTCATGGTTAAAATCACAAAATCATGGTTGTGTAATCTCAGATCACAGAACCAGCAGTCACAGCAACACATGAAAGTCACGTCACATGTTGGAAAGGTTCAAAATGTGGCTACAAAAATCCAGCACTGGAGATGTAATCACAAGTCATATGGACGGACAGATAACTCGTTTATCATCAGCTTTACAAGGACCCACATATGGAGATCAAATTGAGGTGACTGACTTAGACAAGTCTTGCAGCATCTTATTGAACCTTTGTCATAAAGAGCTCACTAGGAAATTATTTGATAATTAGCATTACTGGACCTTGTGAAGAGGGAGAAACAGTATTTACATACAGTATCTTGGACCTTAATAGGAAATCCTTCCATTCATATCTAATCAAATTTTTTCAATTACTGAAAGATATTGAAGACATGAAGTTGCTTATTCAATGAGGAGATCTCTCATAACAGGTCGCAATCCACAGAAGGAATTTATGCTAAAATCACATATCTACTTTGCTTTGCTTTCACAACACGAGCAAACCACATTAGAGTTCACTTGAAACTAAACCGAAAGCTGTCTTGGTTAGAGGTGTGTATTGGCAAGACTCTGCCGATACAATATGCATCATGATACAGGGGCTACGATTCAACATGTTGCGAACTATAACCAAGCTTTTAAAAAATCTAATTTTGGGGTCCTTGTATCTTTTGGTCATTGGATTTTCTTTTCAGAAACTGGTATTAAAAAACAGAAAACGAGTGGTTATTTTATTTTTGTTTTAAAATACAAAAATTAAAATTGAAATACAAGGCGTTTTTCTTTTTCGTGGTCAAAAAGGGATGAGCGAAATTTAAAAGATTCTTCGATTTTCATTTTCTATGTCATATAACAAAAAAATCACTAGAAAACAGAAACAGAAAAAAAGCCTGTTTTTTCATATTCTGAGACCGGATGTTGTCATTTACAGGACGGTGCTGTGTAGAAGAAACAGTAGGCTAGTAGACTGCGGTCAATCCAGCCGTGAGTCCGATCTCCGTGGTCAAATCAGCCGCCATAAATTTCGAGTGTACAAGTATTTACTTCCGGTTTTCAAAATAAAGGTATTTAGAACAGTAAGCTATAATTCGAACCTACATTTAAAATAAAATATGTTACATTAAAGTGTTTCATGTGCCCCTGGTGAATAAAAAAACACTTTATATCAAGTATCTTTACTGCAACAGTGTGGAGAAATGCCAAAATAAAAGCCTCATATTTATGCCTCCAGAGATTGCATATATTTGAGGTACTGTAAAAACATATTGCTCAGTGTTTCCTGGCTACTGATGGTATATTTGACTTTTACACATATGAGACTACAAGCATACTTAATATCAAGCATTTTTACTGTACCAATTTATTTTTTGTTATTTTGTAGACTGCTTGACCGCAGTCTACTAGCCTACTGTTTCTTCTACACAGCACCGTCCTGTAAATGACAACATCTGGTCTCAAAATATAAAAAAACAGGCCTTTTTTCCGTTTCTGTTTTCTAGTGATTTTATTTTTTGTTATATGAAATAGAATTTTTTTTTTAATTTTGCTCATCCCTTTTTGACCATGAAAAAGAAAAACGCTGTGTATTTCAATTTTAATTTTTGTATTTTAAAACGAAAATCAAATAACCACTCGTTTTCTGTTTTTTAATACCCGTTTCTGAAAGGAAAATCGAATGACCAAAAGATACACGGACCTTTTGGAATCTGCATTTCTATTTATCACAGTCCTATAACATCCAACATGATAGCCCTCAGTTTACGTTTACAGCACTGCTATCTAGTGGTTGGGGGTTTAAACACAAAAATGTAGTGTTTTTGAGAATCAATACAATATTACAAAACAAAATATCACAATACTCATGTTTTGATATTTTCTTACATCCCTTGTCTTGGTCCGGTTGTGTAGTCCACACCAGAGTTTAATTGACTGCTTTCATACCAGCTTAAAGGACCAGTGTGTAGAATATATGGGCATCTAGTAGCAAATTACACCTTCCTTGCTTCACCCTCCCCTTCCAAGCATAGGAGAAACTGTGATGGCCGTGAAACGCGTAAACTCACCAGATTTTAACTAAATCCAACAAAACAGTTTATGTAGAAATTACCCTCAGACACAGAACATATTAGACCTATAGCAATAATAAGCTGCAGCAGACAGTTACAAAAAAAATACTGTCAACACAAAGGTGCCATTTGAAAAGTCAGACAGCTATACACATC